ATACCGCGAGTTATACCCTATGGGCAGGGGCAAGGACTCACGGCAACGGCGTCAATATGGAGATGGTGGGTCCTGGGGATGGTCTGGCAAGGAGGGACGTGGAGCCAAATCTGGCGGCAAACCCTGGAATCAACATCGCGACCGCAAGAACTTGGACCACTAGAAGCCGAAGATGGAGACCATGTTCCCCTCCTACGAGATGATGCAACCGCAAGGCAGTGGCCGGGGGGAAGACAACGACTATTGGACGGCGAGTGACCACAAGGAAGAGGACCCCCGCGACACTGGCGGTGCGATGGAACATGTTCGGGGCGTGCAGAAGATCCTGAACAATGTGCGGAAGAACGAGGCAAAGGCAAGGCGCCTGGAATCGGACAGAGTGGCGGCCGACGCCAAGTGGGAGCAGTACAAGGCCGGCATGAGGGATTCCTACGTGAAGAAGCGGGCCAAGCATGTGGACAAGCTTCACAAGATCCAGAAGGACCTCCAGGAGACCCAAAGTGCCAAGGAGGATGCCCTCCTCGAGCTGCAGGAGATCTTCACGAAGCCCCGAGAGCGGGCCAAGCCGAAGGGGAAGGCAGAGGACAACGAGGTCCTGGCGGAATTGCAGGAGCTCCCAAACCAGCCAGTGGAGGAGGAGAACGAAGACCTGGCTGGGGCGGTTCAAGACGAGGCCCTCAGTCAGCCGCGAGGAGAAGCGAAAGCAAATGCTCTGGGTGATCGAGGAGCATCGGGCAAAGGAGGATGGCATGAGAACCCCCAAGAGGCGAAGGCCAGGAGCCCCGGCGATGACGCCCCCCCGGCCCATGGTCCGAAGGCAAAAGGGCAGCATGCCAATGGAGGTGGATGGATCGACAGCCCCCATCATATGGCTTCGCCATCTGCCCCCGCCTTCCTGCCGTCCCCGCGAAGTGGCGACACGAGAGCGAGATCCAAAAGTGGGGCCCGAACGCCAGTCAAATGCATGGGCCGAAAACCGGCAAAAGCTTTGAACCCACATGGGCACAGAAAAGCCATTGCTGCGAGACTGGAGGCCAGGCGCAAAGCGGAGACCGACAAGTTGGCCAAGGACCAGTCACTGATCGACGACTCCGACGAGGAGGACCTCATCAGCCAGCTCGGAGCAGTGACGGAGCAGCAGAACGGCCCGATGTTAGCGAATATCGCCTGAGGGTGAGCAGCCGCCGGGGTGTTCTTGGAGGCGGTGTCACAACCATGGAAAGCCATAGCCATGGTTGCAATACGGACTATGAACACGAGCTATCCTGGGGAAGCTCGTTCGCAAAGTCTTTTGAGAACCTACCTTTCGGATCGTCCGTAACGGAAATATGAAGCTGTATGAAGCTCCTTTTGGAGTCTGACGACAGGCCTGCCCGTGCAAGGCTGCAATCGCGGCCTACAAGACAAATGCACCAGCTGAAAGCCCAGAAAACTTTCGCTCTCTCTTCGTCTCCAGCACCATTGGCAAAACGTTCCACAAAGTCCTCTGAGCGAAGACACAGTGACAACTCCAAGCGGAGCTGCGCGACATGCATGTGGGGCCCTATTGGGTTTGCCTCTTTCCTGCTCTTCAGCCACATGTGGCACTGCCGGCAGAACAAGACCTCCGGAGGGGCGATCTTCCTGGACATGCGCTCCACGTACTACTGAGTCATCCGGGAGGTTCTCACCGGAGAGGTTTGTTTTGACGAGACGGTGGCGCGGATCATGAAACACTTTGGAATGCTCGAGGAGGATATGTTCATGCTCCTCGACACCATCAAGGAAGGAGTTGTCCTTCATCAGTCGGGGTCCCCGGGGCTCCGAGCTGCCATCTGTGATATCCATCATAGGACCTGGTTTGTCACGCAAAGCGCGACGGGGCCCTGGCCGGGAGCAGGCCTGGAGAAAGCTTTGCCGACGCTATCTTTGCTTACAGTTCTTCCAGGGTCCTTGGCAAAGCAACCAAGCTCATTGACGGCGAGGAGTTGGGCACCTATGTCAAGCCTTTTCCCGTGGAAATGAGGGCAGCCCGGTCCTACTGCGTCATGCGACGTGGGCGGACGACACGGCCTACCCATCTTCTGATAAAGATCCTTGGAGAATGTTGGTCAAGGCCCGAAGGATTTCGTCCATTATCCTTGACACTTGTAGGGCGCACGGCCTCGAGCCGAACTTGAAAAAGAGCAAAACGATGCTCCTCCTGTCGATTGTTGGCAAAGGGGCGGAGAAAGCCAAAAAAGCCTTCTTTGGACGTGGACGGCCGGTCATGCGTCTCCCAGAGACGGTGGAGGACATCATGATCACGCCGCAGTACATCGATCTTGGCGGCACCTTGGACGTGGCGACGAACATGAAGGCCGAGACGTGGAGGCGACTTGCCATCGCCCAGGATACATATGACAAAGGAAAGCGATTGCTTTACCAAATTCGCACCATCCCCCTGCACACCAAAGCCCAGCTCTTCGAGATGTCCGTCCCTTCAAACTTGGATACACTTGGGAGGTGCTTGGACCCGTCTGTGCGAAGGCTACAGCCGTGTCCCGTGTCTTGAAGAAGACCGTCATTCCGCAAGCTGGCCCGGTTGACCTCTACCAGATCCCGCTCGTCTTCGTGCACCTGGCTGCTGGCTGCTGGAAGCTTGAGTTGCCCGGCACAAAGCAGCGACTGGGCTTGCTTTGTGCGATGGCTTGTTTCTGGGCCTGATGTCCTTTGGGCGATGGTTCAGGAGGAGCAAGGTTGGCTTCGAGCTGTGCGAGAGGACTTCCGAAAGCTGGTCGCTGCTGGAGGGACGTGGTCCAGTCTCCATGAGTCGGCATGGCCAGAATGCTGGCATCGCATCCGCAGCAGTCCTGCTGTTTTCAAACGACAGGTCAAAGCGATGCTGGCGAAGCAGCACGATAGTATGTGTCGTGAGGACACCATTCAGGTCGGCTTATGGAGTATGTACCAGAAGGCTTGTGAACAGCAGCTCCAGGGAATCCGAATGACGCTGCCGGTCATGCAACAAGCTCTTCACCACGAAGGGTGGCCTAGGGGCCCAGATTTTAAAAAGCCACGGACGACGGGCCAAATACAGGCCTTGTGTTGTGGGCACCGAATGGTTTGGACGTGGGACGCAGTACTGGTCTAGTCTACGGCGCGGCTGGCGACCCACTTGAGGGACAACCGGTCTGTGTGGCCAGACTTCGAGCCATGCAGCGAACTTCGGCATGCCCGCTGCCGATGAAGCTAAAGCTGCCTTCCAACAACTGTGTCAGCTACTCCTCGAACGGCGAGAATGCAGTACTTATGATGTTGTTCTGGACAGTCTGAACGTCCTCAAGAAGTTCCCCATCTACCGCGAGGAGGAGGACAAAAAGTCAAGGAAATCCAGCAGGACATTGCGGTTCTGCGAGCGGACGACCCCAACTACTCGCGGACCCCCGCGGCCTACGACAACATCCTGCCGGCGTTCGGGAATGTCGATACTTGGCTGGCCCCTTCATCAGGCGCAGCGACCGCTGAAGGTAACCAGACCACCTACAAGGATTTCAGAAGATCGACTGGGCTGACATAGTGAACAAAGCTGGGAATGAATGCGGGACCTCTGAACGACACCTGCTGCTGCTGAGCACGTCATGGGAAGCAGTGAGTGATGTGCTTAGGGGTTTCGGAAAGTCACTGCCGTGCACAAAGAGCCACATACGTGTGGAAGGCGTGGGAACGAATCCTTGAAGGTAAGCGTCTAACACTCCCAACCCAAGCTTACACGCTCAAACTGCAGCACAC